TGGGTTGGTCCACCCCGCTCCATTCCAGCAGCCCGGAGGATAGCACGCTCGCTGATGGGGCCGTCCACATAGTGCCCGAATATACCGCATTGGAAGTTTCGGGCATCGATCACGATCGCCCACCGTCCCGACATAGTCACCCAGCTGGGTATGAGCATCACGCTCCCGTAGTGCTCATCGACCTGGGGGGTCACAGCGATGACTCTGTCCAAGACACCAGTGGGCAGATCCAGGATGGAGTCCTCAATGGCCTCGTACATGCGCTGCTGGGTCATCGGAAACTCCAGGGCTATATCCAAGGAAACCGGCTCGTACAGCGGGGCACATACCCAAAAGGAGATGTGCGTTGTCCTTTCCGCCTCCTCGTCGATCCAGTTCCATTCCTCTGTTTCCAGTTCGGCCGGCAGCTGCTCTCCGCGTTCCGCTGGGTGCCTTCTAGGCGCAGCCGCCTCAAATCGCCCTCCACTGTGTAGGGGCGCCTCAGCTGCCGCTCTCATTTCAGCGTTTGCGAATTGTTCGCGCAGCGTGAGCTGACCGCTCGCCCACAGTTCCAGGTCGGATTGCCTGGGGCAGCTGGGCCATGGCGTCTGGCTCGCTCTCATCGAGGTCCGTGGCATCGCTGCTGCAGGCCTCCATAACGATGCAACTAGTAGGATTCGCAGCCATGATGGTCGACTCCCTCTTCGTTGCATCTTGTAGTCTCCCAGGGTTCTGCGGCGGGCGTAAATCGCCAAAGCAACCATTGGGGAGAGCAGTGTCATCGCCTGCACTGTCAGGAGGCCGGCCCTCGCGATTTCCGCGGTCCTGCCCTCATCTTCAAACTGGAACTTCTGCATGTAATCGAGGATGTTCTCCATGATTATTTCCTGCACGTCGAATATGTCCATGACGTGGGGTTCTCGGTCGTGGCCTCCCGGGGGGCCGTGCCGTTGTGGGGGACGTCGGTCGGTTGCATGGTCCTGGACGGGCCGAAAAGGCCAGGACGGAGCATCCGCTTGATAAAGCTGTGTGGCGCCGGTGCCCTCATAGCCGTCGGGCTCATAGTACCAGCTTCCTTCCAAGCCTCCTTGTGTTTTGTCCGTGCCATCCCCAGTATTACGACCCCCTGGTCGAGTACCGGGCCATAGGCACTCCGAATTTTCCAAGCCGGTGCCCTTGTGGTTCTCCAGCCGGCGGCATCCATGGAGGCTTTCGGGGGGCAAGCTTAGTCGATGTCCGGCGGGCGCGGGCCTCTTCCACGAACCAGGCCCGCAAGGGTCTCGTCGTCTTCGTCCTCGGACTCGCCCACGCTCTCGGCATCTTGCTCCTCTTCGTTTCCCATGTTTCTCTTGGCTTCCAGCCTGGCCGAGATGGCTTTTGCTCTGTCCTGCCGGGCCGGCGCCCTGCCCACAAATTTGATGGGCATGCGGCTTCGGCTTTTGGAGCGGCTGCTTTCGGCTGCCAACCCAGGCATGCTTCGTAGGGCCGGCGAGGCTATGTAGGGCTCCGCCATCTTCACATCCTCCGGGTGGTCCTTGCTGTCGTAAGGGAGCTCGGTTGCCTCCTCTTTCTGCTTCTTGGCCGGTGGTGTTCTTTCGATGGTCGCCCGTCTTCTTCTCTCCGGGGTCTTTATCTCGTCCTCGCCACGCCGGTGATCTTCGATCGCACGGAGGATCTTCTGTCTCTTGTCGTCGTTGCCCAAGTCCCCGTCGTTGACCGCCGCCGCCAGGATCTCCGTGATACCTCCACCCTCGGCCTCCGAGGGCTTCCTCAACAGTGTCTCCAGCTCTGCAAGAGCTTCCGCGTCCTCCGCGGACTTCTCCCTTTTTGCTGGGGCACGCTTGGGCTGGGTCATGATCTCCTTCAGCTCGGCCAAGGCCTCGTTCTTCGCCACCGCGTTGTCCTCCTCGTCCTGGGTGATCTTGGCCATCTTCTCCTTGTACTTTGCCCTCTCTGTGATGTATGCCTCGCGAAGGCTGGCTTGGAACTCCGCCCATTTTGCCTCGGTAGCCTTCCTGTCCGTGGTGAGCTTCCGGGTCCTGCCTTCCGCCTTCCGCACCACATTGAGGGCTTTTTGCACTCCAGTGATGTAGCCGTCCTTGTCGTTGGCATCTGCCTGGTGTTGTTCGTCCGGCTGCTCCCGCCTTGCTGCACCATCCCGTGGCTGCCTCTCGTTGATCTTCATCTCTTCGAAGGACGGGAATTGGGGTTTGGCGCTCCCTTCTTGCTGCCATCTGCCCCCTCTTTGGTTCCAAGTCTTGCCAGCACCAGGTCCCTGCCAGGAGGAAGACGAGTGTCCCCATCCATCGTAACCTGCATCTGGTCGACGACTTTTCCATTGGTCCTTGCGGCCCATGAGGTGGCTTTCGCGGAGGTTCGGCTTTGTATGGTGCCGTTGTAGACGGCGGACGTCCGCCTGCAGGGCTGGTTGACCAAGTTGCCGCCTCCGGTGAAGTCGTTGGCGGGCTCTGGACCTTATTTTCCGCTGCCTCCTGTGCCAGCTCGGCGAACCGACTATGGCTCGGCGCGGGGGTCGTGCTTTTAGCACTGGGGTTCCGGGCGATATGCGACGCTGCTGTCGCACTTGTTCCCAAACCCTGACTTATATATATATATATATATATATATATATAGGTCACTATGGTTATGACAGCGTTGGCGATGGTCGCGACGGGCATGACGGCCGCCACAATCTAAAGATGTAAAGAGACTATGACCGGCTTGACAAGGAGATAAATAGAGTTGGTTTAGCACTCGCGATAACCAAACAAAACATCTCTTGCAGTGGCCTTCGATGGCATCCACCAGCGCAGCCAGCAAGGTGTCAACCTGTGCTGAGCCAACCACCCGACCCTAAACCCTAAACCCTAAACCCTAAACCCTAAACCCTAAAACCCTAAACCCAAAACCCACTTCTAGGGTTTAGGGTTGAGGGTCATCGGATTTGGGGTTGGGTGCTTGGGGTACAAAAAACCTTAGTCCTGGGGCCCTCCCACTCCTCCAGTCCAGGGTCTGAATGAACAGGTAAGACACGGAATCCGGATCATAATGCGCTACGAAACAGGTCTTTTGACGAGAAGAGTAGTACGAGTAGAGAGACATCACGAGCAAACTGATACAGGCTAAGGGTGGAGGGTGTACTGCACAGTCTACCAGTCTGCCACCAATTAACCCTAAGAAGCTCGGGCCGCGAACGAACTCTTAGTTTGATTACGGCGATGATGAATGTCGATTTCGATTTCTTGCTGTCGTAGCCAAACTCGTGCACGTACAAACAGTACCACGGTACCACCTTCAACGATCTTTCATGTAATCTCATCAGCCCTAAACCCTAAACCCTAAACCCTAAACCCTAAACCCTAAACCCTAAACCCCTAAACCTGACCCCTAAACCCAAGCCCTGGGATTCTACCGGTTAGCCGTCTACCAATGTCTAAACCCCGACTCCTAAACTTGAGTGAAGACTGACGGAAAAGGTGGACCCCTTGACCTTCAGAAAGAAGCCCCTAGACCCTAAACCCTAAACCCTAAACCCTAAATCCTAAAACCCTAAAACCCTAAACCCTAAACCCTAAAACCCTAAACCCTAAAACTCTAAACCCTAAAACCCTACAACTCTAAACCCTAAAACCCTAAAACCCTAAACCCTAAATCCTAAACCCTGTGTTGCGCCTCGCTGAAGACAGCGCCAAGTTCGGACTTTCTGAGGGACCTGCAGAGTGTGGAGAAGAGGGGGAGGGAGGGTCTAGGGTTTAGGGTTTAGGGTTTAGGGTTTAGGGTTTAGGGTTGAGGGTTTAGGGTTTATAGGGTTTAGGGTTTAGGGTTTAGCGGCTTCAATAATCTAGGAACCTGATGAGCAAAGCCTGGGTCTTTTACAAGGGTCCTTTACATGAAATTGGGGTTTTCGGGCCAGGGTTTCTTAACTAGGTTTCTACATTCTGCGGCTCCAGGTTCGTATGAGGCTCAAAGTTCAAATCTGTAGGGAAGGGTTTAGGGTTTAGGGTTTAGGGTTTAGGGTTTAGAGTTTAGGGTTTAGGGTTTAGGGTTTAGGGTCTAGGGTTTGGGGTTTAGGGAAGGTGGTGCTTGAGAAATTGACGCACAACGGGTGCCGACGAGGAACTCGCGGTACCCTGCGTCCGAGATTCCGGCTCGTAGCAACAAGCATCAGCACCACTCTTTCCCTTAGCACAGAAAGCATCATCATCAACAACATCATCATCACATCAGAACTCATAATGCTCCTCCCTGCCCTCGATCGTGCTCTCATGATCTTAACATTTGTCGCCGTCACTTTGTGCACCACCATGCCTAATAGCATGTAGCTTTTAGCTACCCAAGGTAGGGAGATGCACGCATGCACGCATGCTGGGTTTATGGTTTGGGGCCTGGGGTTTCCAAACAAGGGCCCAGGCTGATTACCCTACCACATTCAGGCTTCTTGGAGCTGTGATTCGCAAGGACTCTTACAAACGGCTCTGTGAGGGCCCTAAACCCTAAACCCCAAAGGGCCCTGAAATTGTTGACATTTCCTGGTTCAGGGCAGAGAAAGCCAAGCCGATATTCTGCTGCGATCCCGGAAGATGCGGCCCGAGCTCAACCCGAAATAATTCCTAAGAGTCCCATGTGCCCAAATAGTATGTACTTCGAGGCCTTAATGTAGTCCCGATGTAGGTACTTTGGGGCTAAAGTATATATGAAATGTTTTTGCACATGGGCCCTTCTGGGACTAGTTCCTAAATCCCATGTCATGAGGCCCGCCCCGAAAGCGCGGGAGGCCCAAACACCTTCAGCTCTACTACGAACTGGAGAGGAGAGGCTAAGCGTTGAACCTCCAAATTGTATAATGTAGGGGCCTCAATAATTACCTGTACACTATTTTTGGGGGTTCCTTATTATACTTAAAAAGTATAATGGCCCCCAAAACCCTATTCTAATTCTTAAGGCCCCCTATATTGAGGAATAATCTCGGCTTCCAAAGCACCTTATATGTCATTGCCTCAAACCCGAAATCCCGACTAGAAACGCCCGACATCCCAAACCCCACGCGAATGCCATCAACAACCTCACCCCCAAACCTGAAGCCCAAAGCCGTATACCCCTAAACCCTAAACCTTAAACCCTAAACCCCTAAACCCTAAACCTATATTCGGCCCGAAAAAGCCCTGGCCTCATGGTTTCGATCACTTGTCGCAGCTCCCCGCTTCGGAGCAACTCCGCCTGAAGAAAGGGCGGCTTTGGCGACTCAGGGGACTACCTTAAGACCCCAAAACCTAATTTTTGTAGGGTGCCTATACATCCCATATTAGGGTTTATAATAAGAACCTACAGAAACCTGGGTTTTGGGCTCTTAAGGTATTTCATTGGGATTCGGATTATCCGGTTTGGGGCTTAGGATTTAGGCCATTGCTTAACATTTGTTTCTTACGCTAGCTTCGTCTTTTGATGTAACTCTTGTCAGGGTTCATAAGCTTATAGGTTTAAGGCTTGAGGGCCTTAATCGTGCGGCGTTGGGGTAATTCTTAATCCCGCAAATCTTGTTCTCCGACCCTAAAACCCTAAACCCAAAGCCCCGGGATCCCGCCTGGTTCTGGAGAGCGCTAATCTTTGGCACAAACTTCTCCACTGAGATCTCTGCATCGTCGAAGCCTTTCTCTGGGACCTGGACCCCGCCCCGAAGTCCCGAAGAAGGGAACGTTTCAAGGTGCAGCGGGTTGTAAAGAGCATGAGGCAAATGCTTGAAAAGCTGGAACGAGGGTTGGGAGGGGGGGGTGGGGGCATACTCTGCAATGCGTAGTTCGGAAATGCGGCCCCCCGCCTGCCCCCATGAGGCCCTGTTGGACCGCATCAGGCATCGTCAAAGTGTAACCCTGTGCTGAATCCCCAGGGCTCCAAGTATACAAATAGCACCTACTTTGGGGTCTAAAGTCTATAAATAGTACCTAC